AAAAAAAGGATATTTCAGAAAAACCGCTGTAAAACCGTCAAAAGCCATCGTAAAACTAATAAATTATAGTGCATTCGAAAGTAGAGATTATGGGCTATCTAACTATGTATAAAACTCAAAATCGATATTTTTGTCGAAAATTGCTTTTTTTTGAGGTATTGGGGGGGGGCCCTTAAATTATGCAACCTTATTATAAACAAATTTTATTTTTCGTAGATTGTTCGTCAATATTCATATTGCTAAATAAATGTACAAACCATTGACTAGCAAGTGAAATTCAACTGTATTTACAGAAAGAGTACAAGTATGTGAAAACAAAATGATTTCAATATCCATTGAATTCGGTAGTCTACTAAAAAAACGAACGACATAAATGTAAAGTTTTATTGAATAGATGAATATTTTTTTTTTAGAGGAAATATATATATGAGGAAAGCATCAATATCGATTGTTAAATCAAGCGGCATCAAAAAGGAATATTTTTTTTACACAATATCAAACATAAAAAGTTCTTCAAACAATAGAAATTCTATGTAATCGAAAGAAAAAGTTATAATACGAAGTTTACTACAATGACATTTAATTTCTTGTATACATTAGAAAAGCAAATTTTTTTACGGAATTTACGAGTAAAAACAAACAATTACAATATGATTGAAGACAAAAAAAAAAAGTAGAGAATGTTTTGTAATTACAATGTGATAGTGAAACCACTATCTGTCAGTAAAGTGACTTTTGGGCATATGTTTTTCAATAGCATTAATAAGAGCAAACACAGGTGTTTGTTCCTCACCTACGAGTAGACGTGATGTCATCTCGTGAACCTTCTTCAAATGGCTTCTGCTGATCTTCGTCATTTCTAAAGTGTCACCTGCGGTAAAATTTATGTAGAGAAGACGTTTCCACTGTTCTTTGGTTAAGCCTTTTTTAATAACGATTTGTTCGATTTTATCATCGACAAGACTATTGCCAGTGATTCCTTTATCTTGTTTTAGATGATGTCCAACATTATCATGCCAATTATCTTCAGATTGAAGTTCAGGTATAATGACAGTATGCTTGAATAGATCAACAAGTTGAGAAACAAATTCAGCATAATCGTTAAACTCGACTTCGATTGATTGTCTGTCTGCTTCGCGTTCAAGTTCTTGTATTTCACCCATGAAATCATACACATTATGGTTAATGGTGGTACTATGATTTTCCTTGTTAACAGTTACTTTGGTAGTTGGTAATGAGTCTTTCGACCCATGAGCTCTATGCTCGTTGTTAGCCGATGCATGAGATACATTTCGCATTTTATTTGACATTTCGAGGGTTGTAAGTATGTATTGAATTTTAAATCTAAAATTATTCTGAAAATAAAATAAACGAAAACTATATATTGTGATGAATTGTAATTGATACTATTATTCGATATATATCCACAAGAACTGCATTCAAACGTTGGTAACTTACTATCAGACATGAAATAACTCTGAGTAAGTTACTAACGACTTTTCTTGTCTTTTATTATCTGTCTGATAGAATACTAACTATGCTGTGTTGAATGCAAGAGTGCTGCTTATCAGATTGGTTTTCTATTTAGAGCTCTAGGTAAAAGTTGTTGTAGTGAAGATGTCGGACTATTGAATTTATTGTTAAGTAGCATGTCATATAGCAAGGCAGCCAAAAGGCAAGAGTATTCTTCATACTCCTATCATTCGATTGAGTTTAGAAAAATTTTGTCCATGGATAAGTCTAATAAATTATAGAATACACTAAAAAATTTGAATCGAAAAGAACGTTTTTTTCTTGTCGGAATATTAAATTTTCAAGTAAATCCAATTTTTGTATCGTACGTATGACAAGCGATTATTTTTTGGAAACTTACTATCTCCATACAAGAATATTGTTTTCGACTGAAACTTTTAAGATATTCTACAAATTATTCATTCTATATATGGGCAAAACTTCACGGCGAAATTCAGTATCACAATCCTAACTCGGCTTCAAAAGCTCATAGGAATGAACTGTTTTAGACTTTTTCTTGTCTTAATAAGGCTTCCTTGTGAGTCGAATATGAGTATAAATAGTGAGTATTAGTTCCGGGATTTCCTTCATGAGTGATTAGAAACGATGTACATACAAGCTATTTCTAACGTATAATATAATCTGGAATACATAAGGAGAACATTAACTAGAGATATCATCATTTTTGGTAAAGTGATAATCAATGGCACAAATTAAATGGAGCAAAAATATTTTCTTTTTGGGAGAGAAGGAGACGACAGCTCGAATATGTTTTCATGAAGTTCTCTTTTAGTCATTCTATAAAAAACTTTTTTCGCTCTACAAAACTGTTGCTTTTATTTTTCAAGTAAGGTTTTATTGTTGACGCAAAATTGACAATATTAACATTTCATCAATCATCAAAGTGTCTTGGCCAAAGAAAAACAGAGAAACGATGCAAACTTTTTTAACAAAGCTAAGTCGAAATTTTACAAATGCCACAAATATTCTGTACCTTGCGATATATGTTTTAGAATTTTAGAAGAAATATTTTTGCACGAAATATCTTAAAGTCAAAAATGGGGAAAAATTTTTGTCTAACAGGATTATGGGATTTTTGTTTAAATTCAATGCACCCTTATCAGTTTTTCTCTTCATCTTAACAGTCACATACTATCTTTAAAATTAAACTCTATATCCGACAGCACAATAGTGACAGTTCATGCACTAAGTCTTGCTTAGAAAAACATATTTTTTCAAAATGAATCCAAAAAAAAACCAGTCGATGTTAGTTCCAAACATTTTTCTCATGAAAAATAGCACAAGGAATTTTGAAAAGAACGAAGAAACAGAGAAAACAAAGCTCTCTATCTGTTGAAGCTAACTGCGTTGCTTTTTGGATTGGACTTAATGAACAAAGACTTATACACAAATTGGTTGATATCTTCAAAAAATAACCAAAAATTGCAGCTAAACAGGCGTTTATATTCTAAATTTTGCTCAAATAAAAAAAGCTAATTAAAAAAATTAACGCAACAGTTTTGTTAAACAAAAGATTCTCTACCAAATAACTTTCTGAGAGTATATCTGAATGAAATGTTAATATTGTCAATTTTGCGTCAACAATAAAACCTTACTTGAAAAATAAAAGCAA